TGTTTTTTATTACTACATTATTTATTCTGTGTTTGATTCAATGTTTGTCATGATCTAATTAAATCTATTTTTATTTAATTAGGCTAGCTTTTATAAATTTCAAGTTAACTAAAAAAAGATTTAAATCAAACAAATGCATATACAATAGTTTAAATATTGTCAATGGGCAAAGTCAGTTAAAATTAAGATTCAGGTTGGACAATGTTTTAACTGTTGTGCTGCAGACGGTCACTTTAAAAACAACTATTAAAATAGCATACTACAAATTAAATGAAAATTATGTAAATGCTCCATCTACTAAGCTTTTTTATGATGCACTTTGTAAAAGACACCAATTTTTTGTAGAATCAATTCATATACTAAATATAGTGTCTATCCATTTAGTAAAAATAGACAATCAAAGACATTACAATGAAGGATATGGATACAGAGACAAAGTATATTTCAATCATTTTATTAAAAACGTTATTTTGAACATGTTGTGCCTTAATACCCCAGTGAGCAAGCCAAAAGGCGACAGTGGCAAGGAAAAACTCCCTTAGACAGCAGTGTGGAACATCATGGACCAAGAGCTGGAACATAATCAGCGTAGTGGCAAAGGAAGAAACCTTGAGAGGAACCAGACTCAGCAGGGGCAAGCCATCCTCTTTTGGCTGGCACATATTAAAATAACTATACATAGGCCAAATGTAATATAAGCCATCCATTCAACATTTGGAGATTATGTATTCAGTTGTACAATAACTTAATTGACTATTGACTGCCTGCATACGTTTAAAGTTTTTTCAGAACAATTTTTGAATTTATAGGGGAGAAGAATGTTGTCACTATTTCTAGAAGGGGAAAAGCAATAAACAAAATCACAAAATGATACATTTTTCAACAAGTTTGATGAATATATGCATTGTACATTACCTTTTTTAATCAGCTGAACACTTTAGAGAAGTCCATGCCCACATACAATCTTTTGATTGATATATGGGAGGAAGTTATGAAGAAATTCAGTGCATTTCAGATATCTGAAAACATTACATTCATTAAACAAAGTGCTACAAGTAAAGTCTTCACATTAAACATTTCACAACTAACATAGCCATGGTCTGTTAGCTTACTGTTTGTGGAAATTTGTATAGGGATTTGTGGACTTCAAAATATCAACAGTAGTCATTTAGTTGCTGCACAAATCTGAAAGTTTACCATTAGTAGATTAATCAGTGCTTGTGTAAATGTCAACAACTTAAATTTATTTCAATAAAACTTACCGTTTTATTAGTTGTGTGCATCTTTAGAGGAGTTCATAGAGCAGAGAATCTTGTGATGAGTATATGGGGGAAATTATGACGGGGTGAATTTCAGAAATCTGAAAAAAAATAATTTCATTCAATGAAGTCTTTATATTAGACATTTTGCAACTAACATAGATGTGGTCTGTCAGCTTACCTTTTGTGGACATTTGTGGACTTCAAAATATCAACAGTTGTCATTGAGTTGCTGCACAAATCTGAAAGTTTACCATTAGTAAATTAATCAGTGCTTGTATAAATGTCAACAACTTAAATTTACTTCAATAAAACTCACAGTTGTATCAGTTGTGTGCTTCTTTAGAGGAGTTAATGGAACAGGGAATCTTGTGATGGTATATGGGGGAAATTATGACTTGGGGTGAATTTCAGAAATCTGAAAAAAATACATTCATTCAATGAAGTCTTCACATTAGACATTTTGCAACTAACATAAACATGGTCTGTCACCTTACCTTTTGTGGACTTCAAAATATCAACAGTTGTCATTGAGTTGCTGCACAAATCTGAAAGTTTACCATTAGTAGATTAATCAGTGCTTGTATAAATGTCAACAACTTAAATTTACTTCAATAAAACTCACAGTTTTATCAGTTGTGTGCTTCTTTAGAGGAGTTCATGGAACAGGGAATCTTGTGATGGGTGTATGGAGGAAATTATGACTGGTGAATTTCAAAAATCTGAAAAAATTACATCCATTCAATGAAGTCTTCACATTAGACATTTTGCAACTAACATAAACATGGTCTGTCAGGTACCTTTTGTGGACTTCAAAATATCAACAGTTGTCATTGAGTTGCTGCACAAATCTGAAAGTTTACCATTAGTAGATTTATCAGTGCTTGAATAAATGTGAACAGCTTAAATTTACTTCAATAAAACTTACCGTTTTCTCAGTTGTTTGCTTCTTTAGAGGAGTTCATGGAGCAGAGAATCTTGTGATGGGTGTATGGAGGAAATTTTGACTGGTGAATTTCAAAAATCTGAAAAAATTACATTCATTCAACGAAGTCTTCACATTAGACATTTTGCAACTAACATAGACGTGGTCTGTCAGCTTACCTTTTGTGGACTTCAAAATATCAGTAGTAGTTACTGAGTTGCTGCACAAATCTGAAAGTTTACCATTAGTAGATAAATCAGTGCTTGTATAAATGTCAACAGCTTAAATTTACTTCAATAAAACTTACAGTTTTTTCAGTTGTTTGCTTCTTTAGAGGAGTTCATGGAGCAGAGAATCTTGTGATGGGTGTATGGAGGAAATTATGACTGGTGAATTTAAAAAATCTGAAAAAATTACATTCATTCAACGAAGTCTTCACATTAGACATTTTGCAACTAACATAGACGTGGTCTGTCAGCTTATACCTTTTGTGGACATTTGTGGACTTCAAAATATCAACAGTAGTTACAGAGTTCTTGCACAAATCTGAAAGTTTACCATTAGTAGATTAATCAGTGCTTGTATAAATGTCAACAGCTTAAATTTACTTCATTAAAACTTACCGTTTTTTCAGTTGTACACTTCTTTGTAAAAGTTCATGGAGCAGAGAATCTTGTGATTGGTATATGGAGGAAATTGGATCTTCAGTTCATTCAGAAAGCTGCAGAGATTATATGCATATAACAAACTGCTTGGTGAAAGTGAAGGGGTTTACACAAAAACATATTGCTATTAATGTAGATAATCTGTTAACTGAAATAGACACACTTTCATTCAAGGTTTGCAGACATAAAATCAAAAAACCTTTTTTTTGAACAGCTGTGTGCTTTTGTGGAGTTCATGGAGTAGAAAATCTTGCGATGGGTATATGATGGAAGTTATGACTTCAGTGTTTTAAAAATCTAAAAAAAAACAACTTAATTTCAACTGCTGAAGTGAAGAGTTAACAATATTTTACTACTAATGTAGACACTGCAATGTCTACTACTGACAAAAAGGTAATATAACAGTTTATACATCTAAAATTTAATTGTTAGTTGATAAGTGCCTTAAACATTTTCTTTTTAAATTATTAAAATGTACACAATCATGTCAACTTACTTTTCTTTGTGAAGTTTTCAAGATCTTTTTTAGATGTTTTCTTGTAATCCTATTAACTTAATTGCATTTTATAAGACAACTGTAGGAATGCAGGCAGTCTTTGTGGATGCTTCCTATGCTGATTGGAAGCATCCAGTGTTGTTTGGATGGCTTAGACTGGCAGAAATTAGATCAAAAACAAATTTTCAGCTAAAAATCAGAAACGTTCTAAAAAATTAAGAAAAATCAGAAACAGAAATTGAACAAATTGAATGCATAAACACTACAAAAACCTTGACTGGATGTAGCTTTGCACTGTAAAAAATATCTACTTGGTTCTACTTAAAATCATAAGTTAAGCAGCTGCCTCAAAATTTCAAGTAAAAACAAAATGGATTAATAAATTGTTTTAACTCATTATTTTGATTCTTGTTAAGCTGTGAATTGCCTTCTGCGAGTCAACATGACTTAAGATTTATTGTTATTTCAACTTTGCTATGCAAGTTCAAAATAAAGTGAACTCATTAATGAGCATTCTGTTCACTTATCCCCATTAGTGGGTTGAACTTAGTAATTTATTTGAATTAGGGTATCAAGTTAAGATAATCTAAAAGAATGCCTTGTTTTAACTTAATAATTAATATAAAACACACAAATTTGAGTACAAAACATTTTTTTTTTATTAAAACCAATGTTAAGCCAATAAAAGCTATACAAACACTTCATCTCAAACATTTTCAATATGCAATCAACAACTTTTTAGGTACCAAATTTCAGTTGGGTGTGGGTAACATGAGGCTAAGATGAATAGAAGATCATCTTCTACAAGTGCGAGCACAAACCTCTGCTTGTCATATCCCCATTAGGTCACCCAAAGATGTACTAAACACTATTTATAGTCACCCAATAGAAAATACATTACTTTGAAAGCATTAGCTTTTTTTCCTTACACAACACGAAAATACTGAACAGGTTTTGAATGTTAACATTTAAAGGGATACTCCACTTTTTTTTGGAAATAGGCTCATTTTACAACTCCCCCAGAGTTAAACAGTTGAGTTTCACCGTTTTCGAATCCATTCAGATGATTTTCTGATATTTAGAAGAATATCAGTAACCAGACAGTTTCTGGTCTCATTGACTTCCATAGTAGGAAAAAAATATACTATGAAAGTCAATTCGACCAGAAACTGTCTGGTTACTGATATTCTTCTAAAAATCAGAAAATCATCTGAATGGATTCAAAAACGGTAAAACTCAACTGTTTAACTCTGGGGGAGTTGTAAAATGAGCCTATTTCCAAAAAAAGTGGAGTAGCCATTTAAATAAACCTTTTTTCTAGTTCACTTTAAAAAAAAAAAAACTTTTGCTGATAATTTACTCACCCCCATGTCATCTAAGATGTCTATGTCTTCATTTATTTTCGGCTAAAGAAAGAAAGACAAGGACACCTTGGATGACATGGGGTTGAGTAAATTATCACCAAAAGTTTTTTTTTTTTAAGTGAACCAATCCTTTAACAATCTCACAGATCCAGCTGAATTATACCAAAAGCGGTCCTGAACCCCAAACACAAACAAACTAAAACTTCAGACTGCCAACTTCAGCTGGTTGTTTTCAAATATTTGAATCCTGAATACAGTATACTTAGTATATTATTTGAACAATATTCAGCATTAAATTTATTCAGTCCAACAAAAGCAAATGGATCAAGTCCAAAAAAAACAACAACAACAAAAAACAGGGCTCCTCTCCTGTTTGCTTGCTTTTGCCTTCAACTTTGGCTTGCATTTCAACAGAAACAAATGGAAAAAGAAGAAAAAAAGAAAAGAATTCCAAACCATTCTCAGGTGTAGCATTGTTTACAAATTATACCTCAGGAGCTTGTTTCGAATGCCGTGGACTCTGGCAGAAGCTTGATCTGGTTTGATCTTCATCACTACCCTCTGAAGGAATTCAAAAGAATACTTCATGGCTTGTGGATACTCAAGGTTCACACAGTAGATAATCCCCAAAAGCATGGCAAAGCTCGATGGCACATCCTTGAAGTTGTGAAGCACAACAGTCTCCTCAACCACAACAGCCACATTGAAGATCTCATGTGGAAAGGCATCCTGGTTGTCACCTTCGTAGCCTATCAACAGGCCAAGTTGCACCCCCTCCATGGCTTCAGCAAGAGTCTCACCATGGGCCTTGAAAAGCAGAAAAAAAATACTGTGAATGTTTGGGTCAAGATGTAGATGCTCTGCAAAGCTACTCAAGTCTCAGTGATCATAAACCTTGTTTTCAGGCAAATAAAATAGTCTTCTTGGGCTTTCAGTTGTGAGTGTGCATGTTTATAGGTGCAATGTTGGAAGGTTACTGCCAGGGTGAAAACTTCAGTGTCCTCTCAGATCTGGGGAAGTGTATGTTGCATTTGGTCCTCTGCCCATCACTATTCTACCCCTCCTTTCTCCCTGCATCATCACTATTTTGCTGTCACAGGACTTTACCAACACCTATGAGTGCATCTAATCCAATCTCTGTGTTAAAGGGTGTGTGTGTGTGTGTAAGTTTATATGTAGGTGGGTGGGTTCGTATATGGGCTGTTATGGATGACAGAAAAATGTCTTACATCACACATCCTGATGATGTCTGATGGCTCTTCTCTTAGGTAGTGTGGCAGACCCAGCAGAGCAGCAGTCCTTCTCCTTTCGTTTGTGTCCTACAATAAAAAACACTAAGCAGTGAGATTTTATTGTAAACATTTGGTGCCCAATTTTACAATTCTCAGCTGGTCTACTCACGTCTTTCTTCAGACAGTCCAAAATGGCTTTCAGTGCAGGCTTCTTTGCCGACTTTGTCGCAGCTTCGTACACTTCCAGCAGTCTTGGTGCCAGGTCATCAAGTCCGTCGAGAAACGATTCGAGAAGGTCTGTGCTTACGACTCTTTTGAACTCTGCCCGAACCTGAGGAGACAAAAAAAGTTAAGAAATTACAGGGAAAAAAATTCAAAGTCAAAATTTAGTAAGCTAAGGTTGTCTTGTTGTCAAAGACTGTCATCCACTCAGTAATACTAAACACAATCCTCTCACTTATCTGTATGTTCATTCATGCCACCTTTCGGACAAAAAAAAAAAAGCTGAAATTGCCCTTTTACTTCCTGGAGAGAAGCTCATACATTGATATCCAGTCATTGGATTAAGTGATTAATCTTAGGCTGAGTGTTTTCTATTGTTATACCTGTCTCTCACAGAACATGGCCGGCCATCTAGCCATGACATCCCCAATGAGAGGTTGATCCCCTACGATCTCCTTTCTGCGCTTGGAGAACGTGTCAGACATCAGGTTATCTATCTGCTGGTGATCTAGGTCTTTTTTCAGCACTTCCACCTGCAGATTACACAAGCAGAAAGGACACATACTAAGACAAAATATTAGGCTTCACAGAAACAAAAGCAAAGTGTAGGTAGTTAGTATTATATAGGCAGGTATGTATGCAGTAATAAACATTAATAAACTTAGCTGCTAAGTGATGTGAATTGCAAAAATGAACAATAGCACATTTCTAGTCAAGTCTAACAAATTGGATGTATGAATTGTTGCATTGCTGTTTACCACTAGCTAGCACAAACAATGTTCTGTAATAAGAAACAATAATGAGCTTGCAGCAAACGAGCGGCTGCTAATAATCTAAAATTATTTTGCAGCACTGGCCATGAACATACACAACCATTCAAAGGTTTGGGGTCAGTAAATTTTTTTAGGTTTTTAAAAGAATTATCTTCTGCTCACCAAAGGCTGCATTTATTTGATTAAAAATACAAACAAAACAGTAATACTGTGAAATATTATTCCAATTTAAAACAGCTGTTTTCTATTTCAATATATTTTAAACAGTAATTTATTCCTGTGATCAGAGCTGAATTTTGTGCATCATTAGTCTTCAGTGTCACATGGCGGTTTGACAAAATTAAGATCACGTTTTTTGTTGTTTTTTTCTCTCAAAATGAAGCCAGTTTTCCAGTTTATGACTTTTTTCCATGCATAATCTGGTTTTTAAAGGATTTTCAAGGGAATTACTGCAATACATTGTCTTATTTTACAGTCATTATTTAATATTGTAGAATAGAATAGCACCCAGTACAACCTAATCGTATAACCAAGCAAGAACGTTAATACAACGTTTATATTGAACGTTATAATAACCAAGAAATATAGTTAATACAATGTTTTAAAAAATGGACGTTTTGAATATTCTTAGAACATTCAGAAAAAAACGTTTTAATAACTTAATGGGAACGTTACGAACCCTAAAATTGTTATCTGGGGAAGAGGAGAGATTCGCGATTGCACTGAACACGTTTTAAGTGCAGGATTCTTTAAGCGAGCCCAGAGAAAACTGACATTCTAACCAGAGCAGCGTGTATCTGAGAGCATGGGCGCGATATTCCACGTGCAAGCAGACAGATTCGCGCATTATATTAATTTACTTTCGCGCTAAAATAGTGGTCTCTCGACATTTAACAGGAAAATAACGCCATAGTTCTGCAGCATCCCCCTTACCTGTAACGTAACACCGTAGACAGTTACCAGAGCACAGATTTTTGATTTACCCCCTCCTCACCGTCGCTGCTCAGAAATGCAACATTGATAAAGGGTCCTTCTGAAATAGTGTCGCGCAGGGCAACGTAGGTTCCGAAAGTTGTGTAAATAAATACATCGGTATGGCGGTTTATTAAAAAATGAATATCATAAAAATATACACCGGCTTTCAGTATGAACCGGTATACCACCCAGCACTATCAGTATAATATGACGATTTGATGCTCAAGAAATATTCTTTTATTATTATCAAAGTTGTTCTAAAAATCTAAAAGATCTAGGTTCTGAAATCTAAAGCTTGTTTGACCACAGGAACAAATTTTAAAATGTATTTAAATTGAAAATAGCGGTAAATTGGAATAATATTTCACAATATCACTGTTTGTGTTGGTATTTTTAATCAAATATATGCGGCCTTGGTGAGCAGATGCGTTAACTTATATCAGAAATGGCATTTTCTACAACGTTTTACGAAGTTTACAATGAAAACTGGTAACGTTTATTGTCTCAGATAAAACTATCAACCGTCTCTGACTAAACGAAAATACTGAACTGCTAGCAAACGTGTTCTACCGTTAACAGTCGCTGAAATGTGCCTCGCTTAAATGACATCGCAGTTTTTACATATTAAAAGGTATCTAATGTTATTGGCTTCATCAACACATATTCTTAATAAATAAAAAACACGAACACTTACCAATAATGCACTTGTTCACTCCAACCGATTCGTCGTCTTGTCTGACAGAAATGAGGAACCTGGTGGTTGTTGAAGTTTGATTGCTCGGCGCGTAAAGTTCGTCTCGTGGCTTCGTCGGTAGTCCCTTCCCCCACCCCCACACATGCGCAAAGACTTGTACCCCACTCAAATTAAAATGATAAGTTCATTCAGGCACCTGGAATTTGTGATTCATTGAAGTAACTTATGAAACTAAATTGGAAGATTGAAAACTCAAACAACTGAGTTGAAATTCCATGACACATTATTTTATGTCTGATTGAATGACATATATAAGTTATCATAACTTTTTCATCAGATCATTTTTTACAGTGTGGAGCTCCGGAAAGAAGAGCAATTATGGGAGATGCCGTGTTGTGCTGGATGATTACTGGACAGGACTTGATATGGAATGGTCAGGACTTTAAGGACCTTGGAATCTCAAGATGTGTCACATGGTATGAACAAAAACAGAATAGATAGTGTAGTTATACATTTTTTTAGTTCAGCGTGCTGCATAAATTAGACATATTACCTTACATGAGCAAACCTTTCTTGATAACTTACTAGTGGACTTGCAGAAATTACAACAGATGAAATGATTTGAAATAAATGGTCTAATAACATACCGTTTTCACTTGTGAAATTGAACAGACCTTCATGGACTTCAATCTCAGATTAATTGCCGCATGGTAGGGGCACAGAAAAGAAAAATGCAGTTATACAGTCTTCATTATATTTCAGAAATATAAATTACCTTACTGAAACTAGTACTGCTTCATGGTAACTATAATAAGTTGAAACAATTTCAATTGTAACATTTTCTGCATCTTTAATGTAGACATGGTCTATTAACGTACCCTTTTCAGTTGTTGGACATTGCACATGTTGACTGTATCCATGGACTTCCATTAGTTTCCCAACTGAAGATGATGTTAAGATGTCCTCATTGAAGTCTCCCATAATTACTTTCTTTCCTGGATGTTTTTCCAGCTCAGTAATGACATGTAACAGATTTTGTCGAAACACATCAATGTGATATGAATTTGGCCTGTACAGCAGAGCAGCATTCAAACTGATATGTGGAACTGAGAAGTACAAACATTCAAGGTTGCAAGGTTCTGGAGTGATGACGTTAAAAAACATATTTTCACAACAGTAAATAGCAACTCCACCTCCTCGCTGTTGTTTTAAATTACTGAAAAGTGGAGTGCTGTTGTCATAGCACTTAGCTCTCGGGTTATGCTTGAAAATAAATCCTGGTATTTGTACTTGGTCTTCAACTTTTAGCCATGTTTCAGTTAAACAAATACAATCAGCATTCATAAGTTGTCTGTGAGCTTGAATATCTTGAACATGAGCTTGAAGACTTTGCACATTGTGAAGAGCAATTGTAAATATACCAGGTGTCTTTGAGAAAGTGTGACTTTCTAATGGAAATTTTGGTATATTTTTCATTGCCAGGTCAATTTGATCATTACAGTATATTGCAGACTCCTTGAAGTTTTGAATTATTAATCCATTGAGAGTTCTCACACGACTCAATGCAACATATGCTTGTCCTGCAGTAAAGATCTTGTCAAGGGATACAACAGCTTTATCTACTGTGAGCCCTTGCACTTTGTGAACAGTGCATGCCCATGCCAGTCTAAGTGGAAATTGGCGTCTTAAACCACCATTGGTTGTGACTTGATCTTCTTGAACTTCAATTGCTGTAGAATTTTGGGAAAATCTATGTCGTTGGTTTGATCTCTGAATTTTTCCCACATTTGGATCATCAAATTCCACATGAATGGTTGATGGAAAGTCATCATCATAATCATCTTCCTGTTTTTGACTTCTGCTAATATGGACAACGGAACCAAACGCTCCATTGACAAGTCCATCCGAAACATCAATGTTCTTCTTTAACATAACTCTTGCTCCAACACCCAAGGAAACACATTTAGCCAAACAGGAGTTGAAAACGGTTGAATGAAATCCAACTTTTTTTTCAATCCTTCCAGTTTTTGGATTTCTCACAAAATCTTGTGCTCGAATACTGATTGCCTCAGGACAAACCTCATTTAGTCTCTGAACATTGTATTCATCAACCTCTTTATTTGTAGGAAATATATGAACATCCCCGCATTCCTCTCCTGTTTCACGTTGCTTCAACATGTTGATGTCACTTGAGCTTAGAGGTTCATTTTTTTTACGAACTCTCAGACGATTTAAAGTTTCAGCAAAAGTTACATCTTGTTGCCGAACAACTTCAGTTAATTCAGCAATTTCAAAGTTGTTTTCCCAAAGGTTTACTCCTTTTGTATCAGCATAGAGTGGAGTTCCTTTGACAGGCGGCAGCTGATAAAAATCTCCTACAGCTACAAGACTTACTTTTCCAAAGAGGGAGTAATCACCAGTTTGTTTGATTTGTCTCAATCTCCCATGAACATATGACAAAAGGTGATGGTCAACCATGGATACTTCATCAATAATCAAAATCTGCAAACATCCAAGTTTGGAACGCAGAGAATTGATTTTGTCATCACTTAGTGGTTGATATGGCAGTTTGACATTAGCTCCAATTGAAAAAGTGTGGTGTATGGTAGCAGCGCCAATGTTGTATGCGGCTACTCCAGTTGATGCACATAAAATCACACTCCTATCATCAGGATTGTCAGACAGCTGAGACAAGAGTCTAGAAGATTCATAGCATATTGCTTTGATTAAATGGCTTTTTCCTGTACCTGCTCCACCAGTAACAAACAAGCGAAACGGTTCAGGATTTTCTCCATGCAGTTTTTGTAAACACCAGTCGCGAACGTTGTAAAATATTGCAGACTGTTTAGCATTTAATGATCTTAGCAAACCCAATGCTTCATCTCGAGACATTGTAGCATTACTGTTCTCAATTGTGAACGCAGTTCGAGGATTCGCTACAAGATCTGGGATAAGTGTGTCAGAATCATCTTCTTCAGGAAGTACGTTATTCTTCTTTAGCTCAATACATTCATGGCGCTGCTTCTCTGTTTCAGGACACAATGCAGCCCAAGCATCTTCCAAATCAACACCCAGCTCCAAAACCTGTTGAGCTCTGTCCATTTCATCGCTGTCCTTTTCAAACAGTGCTCGATTAGAATCAACAATAGATTTTACTTCGGTCACATTACTTCCACATTTCACAGCACCATTATTGTAGAAGTCCTCATAAGTGTGGAACTTCTCAGGCTTCAGCTGGCAATCTTCATAATGTGGTAAAAAAAGTTGAAGCAGTGAATGATAGTACTTTTCTGGATCTTTTGTTGGTGAAAATCTTGGATACCTTATTACTGCAGGTTCAGTTCGAGTTCTTCTTATCATATAACCACAATTGTTGTCAAGCTTGATCACATTTTCTTTGTTTTGTGAAGATAGCTCAGATGTTGACAATATCCTGTATTCTGAACAAAAACTGCCCAGACACAGAATCTCAAAATGTTCTGTTTTCGGTCTACTCTTGTATCGGTCAACCAAACTATTCATCCAAAAACAGCTTTCTTCACCAGAATGGTCATCTTTGTTTTGAAGAACACGCAAAGGCAAACTCATCTTCACAGGATCGGTTCCAATTGGAATAAACTGTACTTTGCGAGAGCATTCTTTCAAGTGCATACCCACTAGGCGATACACTGCCTCTTGTGCTGAAACTTCTCTATTGTGTAGATATACACTTCCCAACATTTTTAATGATGATCTTGCTTCAAGATTTCCATTCATAGCTTCATTTTGGGCACGTTGCAACAAAAGTCCCATTTCTTGTTCAGCTTTTGTGATGTAACTAATAATATAAACCACTACAGAGTAGGCATCTGTGACATACTGGATATCCATGTTGCCCTGCCATGCACGCAATAAATGAGGATTATATTGATTTACCCAAACATCTTTTGGACTTCGTTTCAAGACGACACTTTTCTTTTTAGAACATTTCTTGTACGCCTTCTCAAACACAGCTTGATTAATTCCAATGGATTGGAAAAAGGCATCTGTTGAATCAAAATTGACTTCAGATTCGATTAACGCAGTTTTGATTTTCTTCAGAATTGCACTTGCAGTCTCATTTCCATCATTGCCTTTCAAGTCATCTGATATGGCTCTTGCTATAAAGGTGCGGCTAGATGGAGGTCGTGGAAAATTAAATCTACACACTGTGTTTTTCTTCCGGCATGTCTTGGAATGTCTGCTGCTGTGCTTTTGAACACTGTTCACAGTCTCATACAGTTCAGTGTCATCTTCTACTGGTGTCTTACAAGTGATATAATGATCTATGAAAGCAGCAACCAAAGCATCATTGTCTTCATTGTCTTCATTTAACTTTGGAGCATTTTCAACCCAAAACAGACAATGAACATGAGGAGATCCACGCTGTTGAAACTCTACACGATAAAAGTAGTCTTTGATCTTTCCAATAGGTTCAGCGGGTGACATAATGACATCTTTCAAAAAACAATGCCATCTATAATCAAACATCCTTGCAGCAGTGACTGGGTTTCGTCTAATTAGTCCACATTTCTCAGACCAGTCAAGCTCATCAACACTGACATTTTTCTGTTCTTGCTCCAGGATAGTGTTAATCATTTCAGGCCATCTGAGATCAGCAGAGCTGAAGGATGCAAAGAAAGTTGGAATACCTAGTTGTCTTATGAGTGCAAAAAGGTCTTTTTGAGTCGATTGCCAATAGGGTGGCGTTCCACGGATTGGTCTCAAAAACTTGTATCCTTCATCATAATTCAATATTTTAGCTAATGACCCTGGGTTTGTCAGCATATCCGAGGTTATTCCTTGCAACAACCTCTTGTCAGACCCTTTTCGCAAAGCAATGGAAACATTAGATACAATTTGATCCAACTCCGACATGTATTGTGCATAGAAAATAAAGTCTGTGCTCCGTGCAAAACGCCCATCTGCGTTTAGGATTCTTGCATTTAAGTATCGTGACAGTGTGATCTTTTTTTCCCTCTCATCGTGGAATGTTGCACCACCAGTTGGAAAGAGAACAGGAAAACATTTTGCTTCATTGCTTTTATCTGACAGTAACTTAACAGGACTGTTACCTTCAGCTGGTGCCACATTTAATACATCTTGAAAATGCTGATCAATAACTTCTGAACCAAGATCCACAGGTTGTAAACATGTGTCTGACAAAAGACCACTCTGCTCTTTGATGTAAGTCAAGTCTTCCTCTGGCTGTTCTTCGGTATCATTTTCCTCTTCACTCTTTTCAACTTCAGCCTGTTCCTCCATTTCATCAGCAGCATTCTCTTCTGGTTCATTCAAAGAGTTTATCCATTGTTCATTAATCTCCACATCCTTGTACCATTTATTGCACCTGATCAAACATCTTAGAGCATTTCTAACACGATCAGTGTGTACATGCTTGTACTCATAATGCCCTTTGTATGTTAACTTGCGCTTCAATTTTATCCTTATCATCTTGTCATCACATTCATTTCGTGGAAGAATATTTGACACCTCTGCAGTATTTACAGGAACACACACGACGGGTCCGTGGCAGCCATTTTGTTTTCCGCGTGGAAGACAGAGTAACTTCAAAAAAGGGATATTACGTGCCACAAGATGTTGTTCCAAAGAGTTAAGACACTTTAGTTGATTTGGAATGTCCACCAAATGCATATTGTTAGCAACACTCTCTTCAGGCAGTTTTCCGCTGATGATTTTTCGATGACAGGTTGGACAAATCCACAATTTGCACCTTGGAGAAGAAACAGATGGATTATGACATCTTTCATCACAAACGTGCACATACCTCAGTGTGATGCATCTTCTTGCCAAAGCAGCAATTTCTTCTCCTTTGTCTTCATAGCATTCTGGCTTGCATTCAGTAACCTGCTTTCTGAAAAGTAAACGATGACAGACACAGCACACAAACTCTGGACCTCTACTAACTTCTTGACGAAAACTGGCGATGGCAACACAAATGTCCTTGTGCTTTTCCCTGTTTTTTGCATACACCTCACAGCCTTTTTGTATTTTACTGAAATGAAAGTTTACATCTTTGTGATATTTTGTCTTCAAATACTCACACACTCTTGCTTTAAAGACCAGGTTTTGGGCATATTTCTTTTTAGAATACTCACGTACTCTTGCTTTAAAGTCCAGGTTTTGAAGATATTTCTTCTTGGAATACTCACGTACTCTTGCTTTAAAGTCCAGGTTTTGAAGATATTTCTTCTTGGAATACTCACGTACAATTGCCTGAAATGAGATATTATTTTTATATTTCATTTGAGAATACTGGCAAACACGTTTCTGAAACGGAATATTGCTTGAATACTTGGCCTTAGAACGTTCACGCTTTAACAAACAAACATGACGATCTTTTAAATATTTATCACGAAGAACTTTCATTCTTTTCTGTCTATAATCTTTATCACTACAGTATTTTGTTTTGGCATAGTCAATTTTATTTTGTCTGAAATCAATGTCATTATCATACTTGGACTTCTCATTCTTCAGTTTTTTCAAGTATCTCTCTTGGTCATACTGTGCAGCATCGCTTACCTTCCTTTTACGCAGACATGGCATTCTCACCTCATTTGAAGTGGCATTCCCACACTTTCCTGCACAAATGTCTTGATCTCTGTGCTTAACACATGTCACAACTTCATAATGATTACCATTACAGTTTTTCAAATATATTGCATTGTTTGCAATTACCTCTCCAGTAGGTTTGTGTGCATTCCACCGGCTATCATTAAAAGTCATTATGGTAGTTTTAAATAGATCAGCAGAAGCAAAGATGTCAATTTCAGTGACCCATGACCCAGAATAATAGACTCTAGATTGAGTCAAGTAGTCCTCTACTGAAGTATACTCACTTCTCACATACCTCTCAAATATTGAAGCATTCATTTTCAGGTGTTTGACAACTGCACGGCGAATCTTCAAATGCTTGTCCTCACTTCCACAAATTGCATATGCCAGTGATCTGAAAAAGCAGTTACCATCTGGTTTGATACTCTTTGTCTGACACGGACCTGCAATGGGACCAAAGTTTGTTGTAACATCACAGTCACTGTTATCATTTGTCAGAAGCAAGAGTTCACATAAAGCTTGCTGATCTCGAAGAGTCAAGGGAGAAAAAAACACTTCTGGGACTGAAACATCAGTAATAATTATGTCATCTACTACAACATTTTCAACATGAGATTTTTTAACCCGTTTCTCAGAGACCTGCTCATGCTGTTTTTTTCTTCTCCCCCTTTTTCCTTTAATTGGCAACACATTACACGCTGGTTGCGACATTGAAAGGTTAGTGCTGCTTGTATTTTCAACTTCAACTTTAGGTAATTGGATGTCAGATGATCTTACCTCAGTTGTCACAGATTTGCATACCTTGGGTGTGCGTTTTAAGACTTCGCTGTAAAGTGCTTTACCAGAGGACCGCGGACAACTGCTGTGGTCTGCCTCCAGTGAGTGGGTCTTTGTAGCCCATATCTCTAAGGGTTCATCCTGATTTTTTCTTCTCCCTCTTTCTCCTTTACTTGGCAACACATTACACACTGGTTGTGGCATGGGAACATTAGTTCCTGCATTTTGAACTTCAACCTCAGGTAATTGAAAGACAGATGACCTTACCTCAGTTGGTACAGATTTACATACCTTGGGTGTACGTTTTAAGACTTCGCTGTAAAGTGCTTTACCAGAGACCTGCGGACAACTGCTGTGGTCTGCCTCCAGTGAGTGGGTCTTTATAGCCCATTTCTTTAAGGGTTCATCCTGATTTTTTCTTCTCCCTCTTTCTCCTTTACTTGGCAACACATTACACACTGGTTGAGGCATGGGAACATTAGTGCCTGCATTTTGAACTTCAACCTCAGGTAATTGAAAGACAGATGACCTTACCTCAGTTGGCACAGATTTACATACCTTAGGTTTGCGTTTTAGAACTTCACTGTAAAGTTCCTTACCCGAAGAGCATGGAAAACTGCTGTGGTCTGCCTCCAGCGAGTGAGAAACTTCAGCATCTGCATGAACCGAAACTCCAGTTATCTCAAATCGTGGCGCAATTACCCCAAATGAGTGCGCAATCTCATTAATGTAGTTGTACAAAGATTCTATGGTGCTGTGATAAGCAACACAACTTGTCTCCGTCATGTTAGCATGAGAATCAACAAAGGCATACCATGAACCCTCCTTAATAACTGCACATGTGTTGGCACAAATACATAAAAGGAAAGATTCAGCACTCAGTAGAGCTCGCTGAAGAGCTACATCAACTGGCATGGCCACATTACTTAAGGATTCATCATAGTCATCAACATTAACAAATCCAGTGAGAGACTCTGCATACTCTATGGAAAATACAGTATTACCCAGCACATGTCTCCTTGGCAATTCATGGACTGCAATGTAATGCCTACCCATGACTTCTTGGTCATTTATGTTACCCTGGTTTCGTAAAGATTCATAAAGTCGTGTTCCTGCCACCAAGACACCGTTAAGATCTTGTGTTGTCCAGGTCAACACGTTCTTCATCTTGCTCATCAACACTGCTGTCAGACTGATGGCACCACACTGTCTGCCGCGTGACTCTCCAAAGCGTGCATCACCTTGATGAAAGGAACCTTTCAGCAATGATTTCTGTGGAAAGAAGTCATAACACGCAGGTAAAGTGCTCAAGACATTCTCATTAAATTTTTTTCGGACCACAAACCTTTCTGCAGATTCTCTGGAACATTTGAGAAATTGTTGAGAGTTTTTGAGAGATTGTTTTGAGTTTTTGAGAGATTGTTGAGAGTTTTTGAGAGATTTTTGAGAGTTTTTGAAAGATTCTTGAGAAACATATGGGAAACTTTTTGAATTCTCTGGAAATTTGTTTGTTTGGTTTTCATTCTTTGTATTTGTATGTTTGGACAATGAACACAGGCGTTCATTGTCTACCAGTTTTTTAAGAGGATTTGGCACAACCTCTGCTTGACTTATTTTAAGAGGAAGCGGTGCAGCCTCTACCCGTTTTGATACAGGACGGAGTGGAACCTGTTGGTTTGCACGATGGCACTTGCCGGACGTCACCGGCAAGTCTACCTTAGTTTTACGAGGAAGTGGCGATACCTCGGCTCTACTTATTTTAAGAGGGAGCTGTGCAGCCTCTGCTTGACTTATTTTAAGAGGAAGCTGTGCAGCCTCTGCCATTTTTTTAAGAGGAAGCGGCCGAACCTCTGCAGTTGCCATTTTTTTAAGAGGAAGCGGCTGAACCTCTGCTTGACTTGCCTCTGTTGCACATCGTTGTGCATACAGCCTCTTGGCTATTGTGGATCTCTTCTTTGGTCGTGGCATCTGAAAAAAATAAAATAAATAAACGAGACATCAGAAACAGATAACACTACTTTCCCTTCAAACACTGCAATTGATCATTTCAAAAGAACCTCATATAGACATCAATAAACTATAAGACCCTCAATTTTAGAACTTTAAATAACATTTTTATTAACAAAAAAAGTAACAAACATTTGACTTACCTCAACTCAGTCTTTTTACTAATGCACCAGCAAAGATGAAAAAATTGTTAGCCTTGCAAGGTCAAACTTTAATTTAACATTTAATTAGCATATGTGATGCGATATGGGAAAACGAACCACATGGTGAAATTTGATATATTACAGGTTTTGATACCATATTAAAGCTGGGTTCAAGTCCTTTCCAAATTTATAATTTGTCTGTAACAAAAGTTATGGTTATTTGAAGTCGGCTGATCACTATGATTTTCAGAAACGGAATTTCAAAAAAACAGGTTTAATTAACTGTCACGGTCCTGCTAGCAGGACGACTGGTGCTCCCTTTTTAATTGCCTTTTTTTCATATCACATATTTTAGTAATCACCATAGATTAGGCATCATTCAAAAGCTTACGAACTCAAAATTCAACCTGTGAAAACCGTTTTGAAATTGGACGATTGAGAGGCGAGCACGTTCTTTTAAACAAGCAGCTTCTTTTAAACAAGCAGTTTCAAAGTCTGTTGTTCTCTTGTGCTCCGCATCACACCACATGATAACACTGGATAAAAATAGATAAATAAAAACTTACGGACTGTTGTAGTTCACACAGGACTGGACGTTATTCTGTTATGTTTTTTATTTTGATAGATGAACTGTCTTTGTAGTGTTAAGAGAAGGACAGCTAAACAGGAGATATTGTTTTTTGCCCCTCCGCTCTGCCTGCGTGTTCTTAAAGAGACACATTTTTTTCAGCTGGCCATTATAAATCGCTATTTTTCAGCACTAAACTAGTGAATTTTCCCAAGATATATTCAGAGATGATAAACAAAATGTTATAGAATAATAATTTAATAAAACCCCAATTTTTACAAAAAAAATAAATAAATAAAAATAAAACTGACATTGTCTATATTTAGACTTTACTGAAAATGTACCGGCGCGACATCTGACTGGTTTTCACAGATCGCATCACATATACTTTGATTCTTGATAAAAAAAGCAACTTTACAAATTGACATACCTCAACTTGCAGTCTTTACACACACACACACACACACACACACACACACACACACACACACACACACAAAGGGTTTGTTAGGTATGCATTAACTTTACACACTATAACTTATAAAGAGCTATAAAGTTTTACCCGTGAAAATAAAATTCCCATTTTAAAATCATGAAGCCAGATCAGTCATGAAGTCTCTATCAAACTGACAGATCTCAAAACTAGATTAGTTGATATTATACATCAGTAACTAAGATTGAGCAAAGTATGATGAACAAAGAACATTTTTTAACAAACTGACCAGCCAGACTTTTCCCTATTAAATATTGTGCTATACGGATCCACATAATTAAACTATAAATAAATAGTGAAAAATCATTGACAAGACAAAGGTATTGAAAATGTAATTATTTTTAAAGTTATAAGTTTGCCAAATATGTCAGTAATATTTATTATCTTAGCTAGTGTTAAACACTCTAAATATTTCTTTTTAGAAGTTTAATATTTTAATGTTAGTTAATGCACTGTGAAGAAACATGATAAGATAAATATTAAATTATAATGTTGAATTAAACCTTGTAAACTGTTACTGTTCTAAAAAGTAAACTACTTGAATTACATAAAATGCTATCATTTGGAAGTTTGTGTGATATACCAACAGGACTAGCAAAAATGCTAACCTAAATGGATTTACTGTAGGCCTACACATTTAATTTTCAAATAAGCAACAGAATGACATAGCATAAACAATACACTAACATTACTAAACTTTCAATTAGTGTAAAGAGCAAACTTTTCAAAGTAGTAGCCATTGTGACCAAATGTTCAATGCAAACACTCCAGATATTTTAAACTCTTTTCCAACATGGTGTTACCCTTGAATGCACTTTACCTCAATACTATAATGACTCATAAAATGATATTAAAATGCAAAAAAATAAATAAAACTAACTCACAACTAGCTCTGACACAACATTACCTGCTATAAGAAGACAGAAGTAACACACCAGCCATTTATCTCCCTTATATACTACAAATTCAGACCAGGTGTTGATTTATCATTATTAATTGGTGAGCATGTGATCTAATTATAGCAGTTAACTTTGATTGCAGTTCCTTTGTGGGTTCAAATCCAGTGTGGCACATAGATAAGACACATTACTGATCAAAAGTGGTGTTCGTTGCAGACAAAGTGTCTTTCTGAAATTGATCTAATCTGAACTTAATAAAAATAAACTTTATAAAGTTGTGTAATTTAGATTCCTATATCCCAATAATCATTGCACTCTTCATTCCTCTAGTATTAGAAATAATTTTAGTTGTGTTCATTTTTCATTCATTCTCATCTTAACTTCTTGTCACTTTAAGTTCATTCTCCCATGAACTACTAACCTTCAGCGGGTCTATGATACGTGTCTGCCCAGTGGAACAACAAGGTAACCCAGATATTATGGGTTCTTCTCCCATGTAGGGAAACCTAAATAAAATTGTGTTTAATGTGTCATTTAAATTGTTTTATTATTCAGATGAGCACAATCTAGCATTAGAAATAAGTCTTTTGTTCATTGCTTCTCACCTGAGGTCTAACCAGAAAGTTCTGTGATCAAATAGGATAGTTTTAGGCCAGGTTTCACAGACAGTGATTGGATTGAGCCATAGTTCAATTAGTTGCTTTTAGACATTTAGGTAGCTTTAAGTAAAAAAAAAAGACAACATGCTTGTTTGCATCTTAAGAAACAGTAGCACTTACATATTTTTAGATGTCAGTCATAGTAGTTTTTAGTTAAAACAGCTCAAAAATGAATTTTATTCAATTAAAGTCACCTTTACTCAGCACTTTTTACAATACATATACTAAAAAGAATCTTTAAAGAGATAACATGAAAATAATGCAACAAAGTTTGTTTCTAGAAGAAAATTTTTCTACACATGATGCAGAGTCTTTGTTCATTCCTTCACTCAGGTGATTAAACAGCTACACTTCAACAATCCAATATGTTTGAGAAAAAGTTAAATGACCAAATTCACTTGAATGGAAAAATCACAACTGATCACCATTAAATCTAGAGGGAAAAAGGCATGTTTTCAAGGGTGAGCAGTAGGTTGTCACTCTTACTGAGCCACAACAGGAGAAGGTACCTTAATAGGAATTCAAGTTGTCTGCACAATGCACACCAAACTGGTTTTGAGCAAAGCACTTCAGTATTTAAGACAAACTGGTTTTAAAATCTATGCTACTATAAAAACATTATAGTCTTGTAAATGTTTACACACAAAGTTTAAAGGTTGAATGAAAATGTTCTGGCTGCAGACCATATAAAATAAAGCAATAGTAATGCTATGAACAGGAAACTTTATTACTTGTAACATACGTTTAACACAATACAAGTCACAGGTTTACACCAGATTAATCTGAAAAACAAATCCATAGATTGTACAATAAAATTAAATGCATACAAACATATTGCGTAAGTGCATAACTAAAACAAATCAAATATTTGCATTTAAAACATATGATTGAAATTGGCCCCTGGTATGAAATATTTTTTTAAAGGAAAAAATGGGGTTTAATCTACCTGTGGAGTGGCTGGGACAATATCATCGTCAAGAGGGTGAGGAGGTGAGGGTGGGGTGGTTTTGGTTGGGGAGTTATTTTCAGAGGGAAAGTCCTCTTTCAGAATGCTCTCAAGTTCGTCTAGCTCAGAACTTTGAATTGGTGTGGGTGGTGAGATGGTGATCTTTGGGATGCCTGTTTGGGTTGTGGATGTAAAGGCTGGTGGATGGGTGAGCTGGGTTACATAGTTGTGGTGAAGTGTAAGGGTCATTGTTGGCAGGTTCAACAGTGAATCAGTGATTGTGTCTGGTGTGGCCGTGTGGGGAATGTGCACTGCTGTTTGAATTACCTGATTTTCAATGTCGACTGTTTTAATGTCGTTGCTTGTGGTCCTAATAGTTAATTTGGCGGATGTGTGCACAGAAATGACAGTGGCTTTGTAGTACATGTCACATCTGTGACACATCACTCTGGTGCATGAAAGGGGCATATCTGGGAGACGGTGTTTCATGGGGCAAAGGTGAATAATTTTAACTTTGGCACCAATTATTTCAGCTGTAACGGATTCTGACGTGGTCTCTTCTACAGTGCATGTGGTGTCAGTGCAGATGGCTGAAGAAACGTGCGTGTCCTTTGTGGTGGAGAGGAATTTTTTACCCTGGAATGTTCTGAATGATACACTTGTGAAGTCATACCAGGAGCCAATTTCAATCGTATGTTGCAGGCCCCACATGGTAAGCTCGATCGCTCCAGTTTTATCAGCAATCAGAAACGTTCTCTTTTCAAGGAACGTGTCGTTTTGGAGGACATTGTGTCCTTCACTCTTTAATTCAATTGCTTTAGCTTTGATGTTCACCTGAAAAAAACAAAGAAAATGTTTAGTAAAGAATCTTGCAAATGCAAAATAGACTCAATTAAATTGGCACATCAGAGGTAAAACTGAACACATAGTAAAAATAGGAGTCCTGAATATACATTATTATTAAGTCACTTGCAATAAATTTTACTTGGATCAATGTTACAAGGTAAAAAAAAAAAAAATATGACAACCTTAATTTTATTGTTTGAGTAGTACTTACTTTCTGATACTCCAATTCCATTTCCAGAACCTGTGACACAGTCACCTTCTGTTGGGAGGTGAAGATGGTGGGGTTGTAGGGATAGTCAACGGAAGGCACACAGGAGACTTTTGATTTATGTACGTACAAAATGGCTTTTTCACCATATTCATGCCTTGCTGGCTGCAAGACCACGTCAGTAAGCTGTACGGCACATCTAAAATATGGGAGTTATACAAGATTGAATGAGACAATTCTTGTTTTTGATTACAATTCAAAAGTTAAAATGTTGAATAAAGGAGTTACTGATAAAGAAAATACTTTACCTATCTTTTTCCACAGTCTGAAAATGACTGTGGAGGTCAGACTTGAATACTATAAGTTTTGAGATTTTGTGTCTCTCCTGCAGTACTCCTTCAAAGTAAGGTCGCTTCATCCCTTGACGTAATGGAGTGATGCTATGGATGTAGCCAGTCACACATTGATTGAGATCTGCCTTTGAACTTGCCATTTCTACATAAAAAAAATATAAGTTGACAAATACATTGCCAGCAATTCATTAAAACAAATTTATATTTTAAACAGTTAAGCACCAATAAAAAATAACAATCAAATAACAAATAAATAAAAAAATACCTCATTCACCTCAATGAACTCACAGCTGATAAGAACTGAAGCCCTAGTGCACAGACAACTGAGCCAATTGAATTTGCATATTTAAATGGTTGTCCTAATTGATAAGACAAACAATTATTTCATTAACAATTATATTTAAACAGTCATCTTAATTAACACACCTGATTTTGCATATCATTATAATTTATGCAATTTTAAGCGATTGTTCATTTATTGTGTTCAGGTGAAGAATAGCAAATAATTGAACTAACTCTTCAAAATGACATAATGATATGCATAAATCAGGTGTATTAATTAAGATGACTATTGAAATCTAATTGTTAATGAAATAAATGTTTGTCTTATCAATTAGGATAACCATATAAATATGCTAATTCAATTGGCTCAGTTGTCTGTGCGCTGGGGGTTTAGTTCTTATCAGCCATGAGTTCCATTGATGTGAATGTGGTATTTTTATTTAAATATTTGTTATTCAAATATTTTATTTTTGTTGGTGCATATTTTTTTTAAAATATAAATCTGTTTTAATGAATTACTGTTCATTGAATTAGACTGGCAATGTATTTATATTAACTTGTTTATTTATTTTTTTAATCTAGAAATGGCAAGTTCAAAAACAGACCTTAATCAATGCATGAATACTGCAGGAGTGACACAAAATCTCAAGGCTTATGATGTTCAAGTCTGACCTCCACAGTCATTTTCAGACTGTGGAAAAAAATGGGTGAAGTATTTTCTTTATAAGTAACTCATTAATTCAACATTTTTACTTTAGAACCATAATCAAAAACAAGAATTGTCTCATTCAATCTTTTATAACTCCCGTATTTCAGATGTCCAGTGCAGCATACCAACATGGTCTTGCAGCCAGCAAAGCACGGATATGGTGAAAGACACTTTGTATGTACATAAAACAAAAATCTCTTGTTTGCCTTCAGTTGGTTATTCCTACGACCCCACCATCTTCACCTCCCAACAGAAGGTGACTGTCTCAGGTTCTGAAATGGAATTGGAGTATCAGAAAGTAAGTACTACTCAAACTTTAGGTTATTTTATTTATTAACTTGTTACATTTATCAATGTAAAATTCATTGCAAGTAACTTATTTACAATAAATGTCCAGCACTCCAATTTTTACTTTATCTGTTCAGTTTTACCTCTGAAGTCTATAGTGCATTTCACAATTTTGCAACAAGATACTTTTACTAAACCTTTTTATTTATTTTTTTCAGGGCAACATCAAAGCCAAAGCAATCGAATTAAAAAATGAACACAATGTCCTCCAAAACGACACCTTCCTTGAAAAAAGAATGTCATTGCAGATAAAACTGGAATGATCGAGCTTACCATGTGGGGCCTGCAAGAAACGATTGAAATTGGCTCCTGGTATGATTTCACATGTTTCATTTAGAACATTCCAGGGTAAAAAAAAAAAGAAGAAATTCTCTCCTCCACAAAGGACATGCATTTCTACAGCCATCTGTACTGACACCACATGTTATGTAAAGCATTACAGCAGAAAAAAAATGGTGCAAAAGTTATATTAGTCACCTTTGCACCATAAAACACCGTCTCCCAGATATGCCCCTTTCATGCACCAGACTGATGTGTCACAGATGTGACATGTATTACAAATACGCTGTCATTTCTGTGCACACATCTACCAAATTAACAATTAGGACCACATGCGACGACAAAGCAGTTAACATTGAAAACTAGGTCATTCAGTCAGCAGTGCAGCTTCCCCACACTGCCACACCACACATGATCACTGATTCACTGTTGAACCTGCCAACAATGACCCTTGCACTTCACCACAACCGTCACCCATCCACCAGCCTTTCCTTCCACAAACCAAACAGGCATCCAAAAGATCACCATCTCACCACCCACACCTACTCAAAGTTCTGACCTAGAGGATATTTCCTCTGAAAATAACTCCCCAACCAAAACCATCCCACTATCACCTCCTCACCCTCTTCATGACGATATTATCCCACCCACTCCACAGGTAGATTAAACCCCGTTTTTCCTTTTAAAAAACATTTCATACCAGGAGCCAATTTCAATCGTATATTTTAAATGCAAGTATTTGTTACTTCTGCATTAAGAAACTTTTTTTTTGTGTGTATCTATGCATTTAATTTATTTTACAAACCATGTATTAATTTGTTTCACTTTGATTAAACCGGTGTAAACTGCTAATTGTATTGTGTTAAACT